CACCAGATGATCTCTGGCAAATATTTAGCCACTGAGAACTTTAATCACTCCAAATAGATGAACAACCTTATGCACTTCACAGTCCCTGGGTTTACAATCTAACTTTGGGAGGAACTACATCATCCAATGAGATAAAGCATTTAGGAACATTTATTGGGGGGTAAGGCATAAAAAGTATTGACTTAACCAACTTAGCAGAGGGCCAGCTAGAACAAAGAAGTCAGGGCCACCAAGCGCAGTGAGGAGTGACCAGGGGGTAATGTACCTTCAAAAGTGGAGACAGGGAGAAGAGATGCAGAAACATGAATACAAACAAGAGTGTCTTAATATGGTATACTGTAGGTTTTTTGGGAAGTAATATTGGGGGGAATTATGGGTTAGAGTAGCAGAGGTGAGGGAGACCTTGGTTGTGATCATCCCTCCTGAACTTTTGTTAAAATCTCCATATATCATTATATGAATATGAATTCATCTTGAAGCCAGCAAAGAACTACATGCAGTTGACGTCTGCTACAGCATTTTCTGTTACACAGTGCATGAGACCAATAAAACAGACGGCACTTTTTTTAACCTCTACCACATCCTTTCTACAGTCTGGATGTTGATACATTCTTTTCTAAACGCTGATTAATCTATTTGAAGCTCAGAATGCAAAGGTATTAATTTTACTTTAAGTAAGTTCAGTGAACCATAATGCAAAAATAAAAACCTTCTTTGTGTTACAATACCATTTGAACTGTCGCAACATCATGATCACGTGTAGAGGAAATACTTATTAATAAGAGAGAATTAAGTGTTGCTGTGCTTTCCTAAATGCGGCCCCATCTCTCTACTGTGGCTGCACCACAGAGAAGCTGTTCACGCAGTTTCTGATTTACAGTGTTTTCTCTCTGATAAGGAGGAGCTCCCAAATGGGAATGAGCCCAGCCATGCTTGGCTATCATGATCAATGGCCATTCCTTTCTGTCTGTGAGATTCTTGGGAACATCTGGATTGCAGTCCTAGATGTCAGAGGTCATTGTTACTCATCTCTCACCTTGACCAATCAATCAAGAACCTGCAGGGCGTGGTAACCCCACGTGGGTCTCAAATCCCACTAAACTTTCGACCAATCATCACCTGTCTTGGTTCTGGTTTAAAAGACACTGCAGAGCTCTGAACGTTGTTTCTAGGGCCATTTTCACACCCTCAGAGACAATCACATGATGGCCAGTGTTGTCTGTATAGGGCTAGAAACACGTTTCAGAAAAGTGTCGACCCAGGGAATGCCCAAACGTATTAATTCAAATTGCTTTTAGAACCCTCACAGTAAGATCTGCCATCTGTATCCAGGCAGACTGTTATATGTTTTATATGCACAATTTATGTATTAATAAATATATCTTGTGTATTGAATCTGTGTGTGTGCATCGCTGATCGATAGATTTTCTAATAGCAATAATCATCTCAAAGTAGTCCCAGTAAATTCAGAAAACTCCTACACATGCTTATTCAAATTGTTAAAAGTAACTACTAAAAGCAAATATAAGATGTACTGTATGTAAGAGAAAAAATGGCAGTTACATACTGTATGTGATGTAAAAGGAAACTGAACTTGACCTGATTTGATCTTGTAGATTAAAATGTAATGTGCTAAACGGAAGTAGAAAATTCCAAAGTAAAATGTATGATTTGATTGAATAAATGTCCAACAGACTTTATCATCCACTTTATACTTCAGGAAAGGGGTAGAATAGTCCCGCTAATTAGATATTAGTTTATATTGTACATAATTATTATGGGCAGAAAGAAGACTGAGCACTCTGTAACTCACAGGCACCAGCAACAAGATGAAATAGTTTCAGAATAGTTTCAATAGCTCATTTCTATTGAATACATGTTTCTGTGACACTGCTAATAAAGTGTTACAATAGAACATAATTCAGGTACATTAATGACAATAATCATAAGTCATATGCTGTATTTATCCATCCATCTATTTTCTGACTAATTCATCTAAGTGTTTATTATTCAACCTCATCCAATTAGGGTTTTGGGGGAGCCAGACTTATCCCTGTAAAACATAGACCCAAAACCATTGATGTTATGCCATTCCATTGTAGGACAAAGTCATATCTCTTTGACACAACTAATTTTACATCTGAAAATTAAGCTAATGAGAAGAGGACATTTTTTAAATTAAAGATTAGAAAGTACTGTAATTAAAACTAAATAAGGCAGCAAATATAAACAAATACGAGCAAATGCTGAAATCAATTTAAAAGTAATAGCAAAAGCGTTCTTAATACAATTTTAAATAATTTCCAAAAAGAAGAAACCTATTAATTTTGTCCATATCATAAAAACAATCAAAGGCTTAGATATTCATCAGTAAATTATTAATACATATAGAAATTGCTCCAGTCAATCAAGGTCTATCATAAGTCTTTATTGAAATCAGAAATCCTTTCTCTGATATTTCCTCAGCTTTGTTGTCTCTCAGTGCATCTTCACAGTAGCGTACTCTGACTTTAGATTCAGCTCAACTACAGTAGTCTGTTTCTTCGGTAATTTAGCTTTCACAGTAGCATAGCACACATCTGCTTCCCTTTCCTGCAACTGCTGTGGAGATGAACAGTCAACATTATTATAGACATTCAAGGAATCACTGTTTCACCAATTCTGAGATACCTGCCTGGAAAAAGCATTGAGCATTGAGTTTCTTAGTACTACGTATAATAATATAATTCTGTTTTTTTGTAGCTAATTTAACATGTCTGTCAAATATTATGATTTCTCAGTGTAATACATTTTGGATCTAATATATTTCCTTTTGTGTATAACTGTTTTTTTACCGTTGTTGTCCTTGTTGCTGCTTTATCGATGGTGGCATCTGTTGAAAAAGAAAAACAATTTGGGGCTTTATTAAAGACCTACTGTACAGTATATAGTGCTTAATTACACCACAAAAGTCAATTTCCTTTCATACTTACACACAATAGTGTTGTTTCCCTCTTCTTCCATTTCCCTTAGGACAAAGAAAGATACATTAATTAAATTTCCATATCAAGCCAAACAACCTACTGTACCTGCATGTGAAAGTTTATTTTAAAAAAAAATCAATTTAACATCAAATCATTCCTAAGGATTACATAATCAAACAGGAACAAGTCTAATAATCTATATGTACTTTACTGAAAAAAAAGATTGTTCTAACAATTAAATTTGCAGATACATTGGCCTACTATCATGATTTTATCATGACAAGCCAGTCCACATAGTGAAATTAAAAATGTTGTTTCTAAAATAAAGGAAAGGCAGACAAGACAATAAAATGCTCACCTTTCTCTTTCCTGTTTCCTTCTTTCTATAGAGAGAAAAGAGGAGGTACCTTCATTTTTCATTAAATACATTTATTTAATGCACATCTACTGCTGCTACTTTTGTTCATTTTACTATACATAAAAAGTTTTACTTCCAATTTCACAGTGGCCTAATAAGGCTATCCTGATACCAAGATGATTTGGTTTATTAACTCCTGTATTGGAATGAAAATACGCCGTTTCCTTTGTTTCAGGATTGAACTATTGGTGACATACACCGAGTGAGCAACTTATTCTTTTCGTATTTGAAACAGTCAGTGCAGAAGTATTAAGAACCATGGAGAAAACAGACATATTACTTTACATGTCAATGTAAATCAAAAGTAAATAAAAAATGTTTGAGATACATTATATTATTTAAAATGGGACAAACTCCCTTTCACGTTCTCTGATTATTTTTATGTCTTGTGAGGTTTGGTAATTGAAAAAATAAAGCTGCTTTATGTCACTGGAGCCTTGAGTCACTGTAAGAGGAATAGGCTTGCATGATGGATTACCTTGTCCCAGTAGGCCAGAAGAATAAAGCTACTAGATTCAGTGAAAGCAAGGAAATACATCATTCATTTACTATGAGAAAACTGAATTGCTCCCAGTTAAATAATGAAAGTTCCTGAAACTACCAACTTTCTGTTACTGAGGAAATATCACATTCCAAGTGTAGAAAGATCTAGGGTATTGCCTGTGTAACAAATTCAAACGCACTGATTTTGAAGCTCAGGGAGATCAGGACTGCTATTACCACCAGAATGGGCAGTACAACAGCAGCTAAAAAGATGAAAAACTCTGGACGGGGTGCTGTAAAAGAAAAAAAAATCCAAATCAAACAAAATGTTATGCACAAATCTTATTTTTTATGTTCTATTTTTTTGTATTTTAGATTATTATTGGTTGTTTGTTTTCATTCTGTTTATTCCTTTTTAAGGTAGAAACTCAGTTCTCTGATGATCTTCTTCCAAAATGAGAACCATTTTCTCTTAAACATACAGTTAACCTCATATACCATATATGTATTTTA